TTTGTTTCAATTTTCACGTTTCGATCTTTTGAGCGCTGCAAATGTGAAAATTACAATTTTTGCAGTTTATGTAATAGGTAAATATATATATATGTATATATGTGTGTGTGTGCCCTAGAATTGATTTAGTTTGATTTATACTTAAGCTAACAATTTGATTTGCACGTCTATACATACAGAAAAGGATAGACATACAGTGAGTGAGAGAGAAGGAAAATAAATCATGCATACACACACACATACACAGACAGACTGATAGAGAGAGGGAGCGCAATGGAAATACATAATCATGTGTACGAGAAAAGGGGAAAGGCAAGACACGCACGCACGCACGCACACACGCACACACACACACACACAGACACACACATACAAAATGCATGTAGAAGACGGCGGCAATTTACATTTTGTTTTTTGAATAGTTTCACATTGAGTAGAGAAGACATGTTGATCCTTGATTAACTCCGCACGCTCTACTCCTACTCCTACTTCTACTCGTACGCGTACTCCTACTCCTACTCCAGCTCCTGCTCCTGCTCCAGCTGCGCTTGCCGCTCTACTGCGACGCCTGCTCATCGGGCAGATCTAATATTCTTGCCACAAACTCGGATATATCCGTGTTGCGCTGTAAATGCTCCACAATAAAGCTGTGCCGCAGCAGCTGCTCGTAATTGGGTCTCGCCGTATATTCCTTTTTCAAGCACGTCGCTATAAAGTCCTCGAACTCTGCGGAGAATGTGCCGGCCGTCAGTCGTGGCGGATCATCCTCAACAACCTAGGCAGCGAGCGGTGGAGAAGGGGAGGAAGAACATTAGTATTTGCATTGGCCACATCTGGAGCAGCTGCTCCATCTGTCACTCACCTGGCGCAACTGTTCAAAGGGCGTTCGCCATTTGTTATAGGGATATTGCCCGGTGGCCATTTCGATCATGCTGATGCCCAGCGACCAGACATCGGAACGTATATCGTATTGGGCTGGATTACCTTGCGGATCAATACGTTCCGGTGCCATATATGGCTTACAGCCAGCGTCTATAGTCTTTGCCACCGAATCGACCAGATAGCCTGCGAAGGATAGTAGCATTGTATTATCTTATATAAACTGCTATTGCTAACCGATTGCTCTGCCAAATTGGATCAAGAAAATTGTTCAATATCAGAAGGTTTTCTTTCAATAGATTTCTTTAGCTAGACATACGACAATTCCCTTATGATAAGTAAGTTCTTGATCTATAAATCTTGATCCACAAATAAGTTTACTTCTCACAGTTCCAGCTCCATTTGTCTCTTCAATTTGATAGAAAACTGTAGGCAGTTTCCAATGCTCCACAGCTGAATTCATATATTCAAAATTCTATTTCCTATCCATCCGAAGCCTCTGAATTCCTATATTCATAATTCTATTTCCCATCCATCGATAGACTATTTTTAATAGCTCTCAAGCTCCGATGCTTTATAATTATGAATCGTGTAGAATGAAATGGAAGAAGAACACAGCGCTTACCTGAGATGCCAAAATCACATATTTTCACCTGGCCGCTGCGATTGATCAATATATTTGATGGCTTTACATCGCGATGGATGACCTTCAGCTGGGCATGCAGATAATGCAAGGCGCTAACCACGCTCATCGCGATCTGAGAGAGTGTGCACATATAGAGAGTGAAAGAGATGCAGATAGTAGGCAGATAGAGAGTGGCTTACTTTGCCGAGCACCGTCTCCTCCATGGTTAGCTGATTTTTGAAGACCTTCGGGTAGAATTTGTCCAAACTGGTGTTCATCACCTCCATGCAGATCCAGACATCGCCCTCCCGGTACATGGCCCCATAGAAGTGGACCGTATAGGGGCAATCGCTGGATCGCATCGATATATCCAGATCCATGATCAGCCGTTGCTGTTCCCGGAAGTTCACTGTCATTGGGATGCGCTTGACGGCCAGCACAGTGCCCGTCTGCCTGTGTCGCATCTTCTCCACGATACCATAGGCGCCGCGTCCTAAATCACAAATCTTCTCCAAACTATCCGCATCGATGTCGAATGTTTGATCGTCGATTTGTATGGTCGCCCGGGAGTCCAGATTACGTGGTGGCACACTGTTAACGACATGTAATGTAACAGTATGTTAGCAGGATGGCTAAATGTTAATGCTATGTCGGTATTACGGTATTTAAGCAGAAGAATTACTTGTATGGCCAAATGTTGATAATATGTTAAAAGTTAAGAGTATGTTGATATCACTATTATTTGTGTGGCGAAATGTTAACAGTATGTTAGCAGAAGAACGATGTGTGGTCAATGTTATGTTAATAAAGTAATTATTTGAGCGGGTAAATGTTAACAGTATGTAATTTACATGATGTTAACAGAGTACTTATAGTAATAAGGCTAGTAAGACATTTGAGGCTTATTCGTTTTGTTTTGACTGATTGATATTGGCTGGAAATGATTTCTGTGTTTTTTAGAGGGAAACAAGGACCGTGAATTTAACATAAACAACTTATTTTAATATGAATCGAGTTATTATCAATAAGAAATAGTTCAAATATTTTGATTAGGCGGGATTTCCTGGATTTCCAGGGTATACAAAATTCGATCAAGCCTGTACAGCTGTGTGTTATTTTGTTCATAGAGCCAGTTCAGTCTACATGCACATTCTCGCACACATGAAAACAAAATGCCAAAAAAAAAAACATAGATTGTCTTGCGCACTCTTCGCACACAATAGCTAAACTCTGCACATACACACATACAGAGATACGGAGAAGCATAGGCAAAAGCAAAACGAACAAGTGTCATAATGTCATAACCCCCAATGCACTTACAATGCCGGTTCCGGCTCACGCGGAATGCCAATGGGTGGGAGGCGCGGACGTGGTCGTGACATTGCGCTCTGTCGTTTAGATATATGTACGTATGCGGATGTATGTGTGAGCGTGTGTATGTATATGTAGGTGGGTGTATGTGCGTCTTTGGCGGCCTGCACTTGCACTTTTTGGATTTATTCACGCGTGTTGCGCTGCACGTTTCGCCTGGTAACTGAAATTATTTGCTCCACTTTTTTGATACTTTTATTGCTGTTGCTGCTGCTGCTGCGGCTGCTACTGCTGTGTGGGTTTTTATTGGGCCGTCGACAGCGAAGACGACGGCGACGTCGATGGAGCGGCGGCGGCTGCTGCTGCTGCTGCTGGCTTTTGCTATTTTTACCACATTTGGTCAAATCGTGTTGTTGAAATGTTTGCCTGCTGCGGGTACACTTGTGCGTGTTGAGAAAAAAATGCAGACCAAATGCCGCGCTCGCTGCGGCTCTGACTGTTTTCGTCGCTTAACTTTTCTTTGATATTTAGTTTTTCGTTTTCTTTTCTTTTTCACCCAGCACTCGCGTAGAACTCGTCCTCGTTGAAAACAATACAGTGGGATAATCACAGTGTTGCCAACTCAGCCGTTTCCTGTTCGTTTTTTAATCACATATGATATTCTGGTATTTTATTCGGTCACACTAGACTGTATGTTTGTCCTTGAAGCAAGCACGGAAAATGGATCTCTATGATTGTAGCAAACAATTACTGCCTGTCATTCTGTGTAAAACAATAAATCACGTTTTTGAAAGGGCTTTCTTTCATGCAACTCAAAGTACAAGGCGAATGTGTGTAAATATTTGTAGCTACTTTACCACAAAAAAGTTTTAATATATCGATATATCGATTCATCGTTGCCAGCTGGTTGCTAAAGAGATGAATGTATTTGCGAACTATGCACGTATGGTCACACTTCATTTATCTTCTTGTTGGTGGTGGACTGTTTCACATTGTTTAATAGGATGTGCATTGCGAATTAAGCAGCAAATAAAGCTAATTGTTAATGTGTAATGCAAAAGTGCAAGTGTTCGCGCGCCAGCCAACATCAATTCTAAACATACGCCGCGTGTAACGCTCTAAAGCTTAAGGCGTACGCCTACAAAAACTAAAGAGCGCTGCTGCTGCATAAAAAAAAGAAGGAAAAGAATCGCGAGATATATTATTGTTGTTGTTGTTGCGCTCTGCTTTGTCGTGCGTGAGTGCGTGCGTTCGCTCGTGCGTCTCTGTTGTATTTCGTGTCTGTTTTTGTTTTTTGTTTGTTGTTCGTGAAATCTTTATTGTTGTTGTTTTGCGGCCTCTGCAAGTGGAAAGTTCACGCGCACGCATACAAGTGCAATAGCAAAAGGCACACACACGCACACTTGTGTGTGTGTGTCCATGTGTGCATGTGTGTAAGGTTGTGCATATGTGTGTGTCGGCAGCAGCAGCAGCCATAAATACAAAACGCTGGGAAAATCGAATTTARAACAACAACAACCGAACTAAAGAGAAGCAGCAGAAGGAGGAGGCGAAAGAACACAACAACTGCAACAATGTCCAGCACAATCGAATTTGAGACAATTGGCAGTCGGCTGCAGTCGTTGGAGGTGGCGCTGCAGGCGCAAAACGAATCACATGAACAAATCGTCTTATCAAAGCGTGTTCGGCCAACAACAATATCGACAACAACAACAAACACAGGAGCAGCAACAGCGACACCAAACAGCGCAGCGGCCATTAACGCCGCAGCGGCGGCAGCATCACAAGCTCAAACAGCAGCAGCAGCCGCCGCTAGCGCTGCCTCTGCCTCTGTTGCCAATAATGTCGCCGCCGCCTCACCAACCAGACCAGCGACAGCGCTGCCGGTGCCAACGTCGACGTCAGCGTCTCTGTCGTCTGGTATCTTTGCTGGCGGGGGTTTTGCCCCGCCCACCAGGAGTATGCGCCCAACGCCCAGTTTGCCCATACGTAAGTTTCATACATAAATACAAAAATACGTAAACACTTACACACATGCATACATATATGCACACGCATGTGTGTGTGTGCTGATAAGAAATTGACGTTTCGATAGATACGATAAACACTCATTTACTCATGTTTGTGTGTGTGTGTGTGTGTGTAATACCCTCAACAAAGGGCACACGTTATCGATCTCTGCGTTTCGATTGCATAGATAAGCGCACGCTGCGAGCAAAACAAACCAAAAACAACACGAAAACTTGTTTTCGCCAAATGCAGCGAAGCAGCGCCGCAGCAGCGGCAGCATCAACACATACACTTGTCCGCGTCGCTGCCGGCGTTGCTTGCTTCGTGTTTGCCTACATATGTATATGTATATATGTGTGCGTGTGTTTGTGTTTGTATCATATTCGCATTGTTTCCGATTGGAAAAGTCATTTAAACTGTCTGCTTGGAAAGGTTGTTGACGAATTGAAATAAAAAACATGATGTTTTTAAATATGAATAAATAATACTTGAAACATTTATAATGTTCAACTTGTTAAGATGCCAATTAGGTAGTAAAAATAAATAAATAAATAAAAAAAAAAAAAGAAGCATTTATCTGATAAAAAAAGAGTGCTAGTAAATATTGTATGATGCACTTGAATTCTGTTTCAATGTACTCTATAGTTATGTGCTTATTAAACAGTTGTTTTAATTAAATATCTCAGCCTTCAGTTTGATATCAAATTGCCATTAAGAAAATCCCAACTAGATCAGATCGCCAGACTATTTAATGAAACGGAACAATAGCAAGCCCAATTGGATTCACGACTCTCATGCTTGCTCTGCACAAGACCCAATTCCAATTAGACTTGTGCACGCCTTGCACACGTGAGGCTCATTGCAAATTAACGGCAAATGCACTTTGCAGCTCGTTTTTATCTTTCCCGCTCACTCTACACAGATGCTCTCCCATTAAGTGCGTTTCTATTTGTGCATGTTGTGTGTGTGTGTGTGTCGCCGTCGTCGTCGTCGCTGCTGTTGCCGATTTCATTTGGCATGTTTGTTGGCATTTTTTTTTGGCATTTCCGGAGTAAATGTCTTGATACGCGCACTTCGCCGCGACGGCTGCCGCCAGCGTCGACTCTCAGTGGCATTGTTGTTTGTTTTTGTATTCGCTTTTGGTTTCGCGTTTCTTCACCCGCGCACACACACACATGCGCGTATGCCACAGCGAGACAGTGACGGCGGCTGCGACTGCGGCTGCCGCTGCGACTGCGACTGGGGCGAACACAGCGGAGACAGCGTGACTCGCGTGAGGATTGCGGCGAAATTTGTCTTCGTGTTGCGTATTATTGTTATTGTTATTGTTATTGTTGTTGTCGTCATTGTTTTTATAAGTAGTAATATTTCATTTGAAGCAACTGATAACTATTATCGCTTACAATAACAACAATAATTATAGTCCTAATTTGAGCAATAACAACGCACTCTATGAGTCTTGCTATTTGTAGTTAATGTAAAGCACAGTGGGTCAAGATTAATTTGTTTTGGATATGCATGCATACATATGTAAATATATATGATAAAAATTGCATAATATAATGAACATATTGATCTAAAAATAAAACTAGAACTGGAATTGATTGGAATTGATTTGGTTTCCAGCTGATTTCTTGTCTAGGATTACATATAATCAAAATCAGAATGGCTATAATGCGATTCTCAATTAAATTGATTATTGTTTTGCTACGGCCACTTTTATTGACATTTGTGGCGCCCCGTTTATAAAACTATTTATAGATATAGATAAAAATGTTTGGCCAAGCAAATTCCCACGTTTCGAAATCAACGCAACTGATAGCGCTGGCCTTGAACAGCAGGCGAATGTGCTCGAAGTAACTGAGCTTTGTGTCAGTGTGCATATCATGCTTACACACACACACACACGCGCACACACACGCACACACACACTTACGCACATATATGCGCTTTGTTTTTGACTAACGGTTATTGGTCAGTGTTGTCGTTTTTAGAGTGCAGCATAAAGCTAAGTTAGTGTGAAGCAAAACAAAGCTAAATTGATATTGATAAAAAAGGCTGTTGATATAAAATGGGTAGATTTGCAATTTGAATGTAAACGTAAACTTAACTAAATATAGATTGCATTCTACATAAAAGCTAGCAAAAAACAAGCTACAAGCTAGAATTTCATACCTTCTAGAAACAAAAGTCAAATCTAGCTGGAAAATTTTTGTGGTAGGCAACACAAACTTTAGCTTGCATTTTAACAGAGGATATATAAAACTAGCGAAGACAAGCTGAATTGTTTGTTAAAAGCTAGAATTCCGTCTCTCTAGTGGTTTCTAAAAACTATAGCTAGATCTAGCGGGAAAAATGTTGATGATGATGGCAATTCAAACTGTTATATTGCAATTTTTATGAATTTTTACTTATGCTTTTCTCACTCAAGCTATCTCTTTCTTTCTCTACCACTCTAGCTGAATCTGGAGGATCGACGCGACGTCGCATGGTGCTGCCGCTGCCCACACAGCTGCATCCTTCCGAAACGGAAACGGATAAGAAGCTGAAAATGATAATGGGCCAGACGGGCAAACTGAATATCAATGGCCATCAATATCCGACAGATATACACGATCTGCAGCATCTGGGCGATCTGGGCAATGGAACCAGCGGCAACGTGGTCAAAATGCTCCATGTCTCCAGCAACACGATCATTGCCGTCAAACAGATGCGACGCACCGGCAACGCCGAGGAGAACAAGCGCATTCTGATGGACTTGGATGTTGTGCTCAAGTCGCACGACTGCAAATATATCGTCAAGTGCCTGGGCTGTTTTGTGCGCGATCCGGATGTCTGGATCTGCATGGAACTGATGTCCATGTGCTTCGATAAATTGCTCAAATTGACCAAGAAGCCGGTGCCGGAGCCCATTCTAGGCAAAGTCACGGTGGCTGTAAGTGCGGCTCTTTAGCCTAAAAATATGTAGTAAAGTTTTGTTAAAGCATTTATGTTATACAACACTGTTTTTTGTTTAGGTTAGAATCGATCGATTTTGGTGTTGAGTAACAAAATTGGTGATTTAAGCTGAAATGTACGTAGAGTAGTAGCTAGATAGTAAGTGATAGTGATAGCCACAGGTAGTAGAGTAGTGATGTTATACAACACTGTTGTTTTTATACCCTGAACCCATTGAAAATGGGAAATCAGGGTATAATGGTTTTGTTAAAAGTATGTAACAGGCAGAAGGAG